TATATTTTAAAGCAGCCTCTGTATGACATAGAATCATAGAACTGGAAGGGACCTCAAGAGTCTGGTCCCCTGCCTTCACAGCAGGATCGAGCACCTTCTAGATCAGGGCTACTCAACATGCGGGCCGCATGCAGCCTGCACCCCTTTTGTTGGCAGCCTGCGGTTCGGTTTCAGTTGACACGGGGCTCAACACGTGGCCCGTAAGTGGGATCCTTTGAACATGGCCTCCATTGGGAACAAACTCCACAATGGCAAGGCATAGAATCATAGAACACTAGAACTGGAAGGGACCTCAAGAGGTCATCAAGTCCAGTCCCCTGCCCTCATGGCAGGACCCAGCACCATCTAGACCATCCCTGATAGATGTCTGTCTAACCTGCTCTTAATATCTCCAGAGATGGAGATTCCACAACCTCCCTAGACAACTTATTCCAGTGTTTAACCACCCTGACAGTTAGGAAGTTTTTCCTAATGTTCAACCAAAACCTCCCTTGCTGCAGTTTAAGCCCATTGCTTCTTGTCCTATCCTCACATGCCAAGGAGAAAATTTTTTCTCCTCCCTCCTAGTAACACCTCTTAGTCTTCTCTTTTCTAAACTGTACGAGCCCATTTCTTTCAGGCTTCCCTTATAGCTCATGTTTTCTAGACCTTTAATCATTTGTGTTGCTCTTCTCTGGACCTTCTCCAATTTTTCCACATCTTTCTTGAAATGTTGTTCCCAGAACTGGACACAATACTTCAATTAAGACCTAATCCGCACAGAGTAGAGCGAAAGAATGCCTTCTCGTGTCTTGCTCACAGCACTCCTGTTAATACATCCAAGAATCATATTTGCTTTTTTGCAACAGTATCACTGTTTAACTTGCATCTGACGAAGTGGGTCTTTGCCCACGAAAGCTTATGCTCCAACACTTCAATTAGTCTATAAGGTGCTACAGGACTCCTCGCCACTGTTTAACTTGTGATCCATTATGACCCCTAAATCCCTTTCAGCCGAACTCCTTCCTAGACAATCACTTCTCATTCACTGTGTTTGAAACTGATTATTCATTCCTAAGTGGAGTACTTCGCATTTGTCCTTATTAAACTTCATCCTGTTTACCTCAGACCATTTTTCTAGTTTGTCCAGATCATTTTGAATTTTGACCCTATCCTCCAAAGCAGTTGCAACCCCTCCCAGCTTGATATCCTCTGCAAACTTAATAATCATACTCTCTATGCCAATAGCTAAATCATTGATGAAGATATTGAACAGAACTGGCCCCAAAACAGACCCCTGCAGAACCCTACTTGTTATGCCCTTCCAGCATGATTGTGAACCATATACAGCTGAATTTCAAGGGAACATTTGGACACTCATGGTTTGGAGGAAGGCATGGTAAGAGGCCTGCTAGGACACGATCATACGGGCGGGAGAGAGCTGGGGTCCAGTCATGCTGGCGGGGCAGAGTGGTGGCTCATGCGGCTTCCTTCCTCTGTGTTCATCATACCCAGCTTCCTTCCTGTGTGTCTGCCACCTCCCATTTGCCAAGAGAGTTCTTTTTCCCCCCATCCCACAGAAGCCTGTGGAAGGGAGGGCAGCAGTGGGTGGGGGGAATAAGTACCAGAATCTGAAGCTGTAGTAGCTGCAGAGGCAGCAGCTAATTGCTTTCCTTCCTTTATCCAGGTTGCCATGCGAGATATCAGCCTTCTCTGAATCACACAGTGATAGGGAGCTGATGCTGACGGGATGTGGCCAGAAATGTGGGCCTTATGCTGCAATGACAGACCACTTACTTGGTATGGGAAGGTGAAAGGTGTCCTACCATGGAGGACTGAATAAAGCTATCCTCCCCAGAAACCTTGTGGAAAGGAACAGAGAGTTTATATCTGAGAGCTTCATGGAGATATGCAGGGAGGATTCCCGCTCTGAGCTTCATGGAGATATGCAGGGAGGATTCCCGCTCTATCTCTAGACATTAACAAGCTATTCCAGGCCCCCGGTGTTCTGTAGGCAAAGAGTACGCCACACATCACACCCAATTGCCTTAACCTGCTTGTAGCAAGAAAAAAAAATTGTGAAGTACCCTCCTTGGGATTAGTGCTCGACCGTGAGCGGTTCTGAGAGGAGGGGATTGGCTCCAAAGAGATGAGACGTTCTTGGTTCTTGCCGCTTGCTGGCTGGCCATTTTCTTTGTCCCCCTCCACCACCACACAGTCTTCCATGCTGCTGCCCTGAGTGTCTTGGGCAGACTCCACAGTCTGGCTTGGGAAGCTGGTCAGGTCTCCTGCTAGGATTACGTGCAGTTGGTTATAGAAGCGGCATGTTTGTGGCAATGCACTGTTTTGTAATATGACTGCCTCAGCTCCTGTATTTTAATATGACACTGCTGGGGGCCCCCCGGAGTATCCTTTCTCTACCAAGCACTTTGCTGTCTTCACGTAGGTATTGGTGGGGGGTTTTGCTGGTTCAGAGCTCTGAGAGAATGGATTCCTATCCCAGTGCCTCAACGTGGTCCAGAGTCTCCTGCACGCTCCATGCTGGTGCTCTTTTGCACCCCTGGGAACTGAAGCTCATGGAAGTCATGGCCACGTGTTGCTCAAGTGTGCTGCCTGCTGTGAGGTGTGCTCCCAACACGGGCCATTCAGGAAATGGTGCTTTTCCTGTTCACCTGACGAGCTGTAGAGGTGCAAGTTCTGGCCAGAGCAGTCACATAAGGACCTTGATTTTTGTCAGTGCTGGGTCTACACTGTCGTAAATTCAAACATGCAAGGTCGAATTTTGTGTTACTATTTGTGAAAAGCAGGAGTATAGAAATCAATTTCAGGGGCCTTTAAAGTCGAAGGAACGGCCTTGGAAATGTGGACTCTCTGTTTAGAAAATCGGTGTTATGCGGCTAAATTTGATCTAAACTCCTAGTGTAGACTAGGCCTTAGATGAGGCATAGCGCTGTTGGTAAAAAGACATAGAAGCTGGATTCCTCTTTCCCCACTTCTCCCTATCTTTTTATCTTTCTCGTTTAGCTTTTGTCACTGATTACAAATTGGAATTTATTGGAATATTGACATTGAGTATTTTATAATTTGTGCTGTATGCTGGAAATAGTAGAGTGAAGTCGTAATGCACTGAAGTGTAGGGAGGAGTTTTCAAACAGGAGAGATTTGATTGTGGTATACAAGAAAAATAATAATAGAATACTATATGGTCTTGTTACATTGCATTAGTGTGCACATTTCTAATATTTTTATTAAAGATTTGAGTCTGTTTAAAAAAAACCCTCAAAATGGGGAAGATTGCAGAATGGGGAACATTGAGGAAGTACAGTATTGATTTGGGAAATTTAACTGCTGTTATTAATTTTGCTTCCCATTTTAAGCGAAGTGTTTCAGTCACTTTGTGGAAATGCTTTGAATTAACATTATGTATTCAGGAAGGCCCATACAAGTAAACTTCTGTTTGGGAACAAAAATGCAATTTAAGTATTTTGTCCCCTTTTGTAATTTAAGAATGGGAACACTTCATGCTATAGCTAATGAAAATCTTTATACTTAGAGTAAGAAGCAGTTGCAAGGCTATTAAGAAGATAAGTTTGTTTTGTGTTTTTCAGTATTGGGTGTGTGGGTTTTGTTTTTTTGTGTTTTTGGCTTTGGAAGTGGGGAACATTAGATGCCAGCTCTAGTTAGGTGGATTGCAAAACAACTGAATCTACTACAACATGTGTGAGGGATGAAAAATGTGGAAATTAAATTGTGATAGCTTTCTTATAGTATTCAGTGGATATATTAAGATATTGGGTTTTTTATTTAATAAACTTAACTGTCATTAAAGTCAGAATAAACCGTAATCATACTCAAGTTTTGTTTCTTGTAATCTTAGCTTTCTGTGGGATTCAAATATAGGAATTCAGAAACATTGAGCAATTTTAAAAAGGCCAACATTCTTGGGTATGTTATATTAAGCAGCCTGGAGTAAACGGTTAACAGACTTCTTTTTGTAGATTGAAATATAGATTAACAAATTGTTGGATTAACTAAAGCATTCAAAACTGTATGGTTCCAGGAATGAGCATAACCAGCAGTTATAAGGTTAAGCATATAATCTTCCGTAGTTCCAGTTTGTGTACTTGAATATAAGCTGCTTGCTGTGTGCTTATAACATAGTGGGGCATCAGTCATGTTTGGGAGTTGGGAGTACTGTGGCAATATAAATAAATAATTTTTAAGCAACTGTATTGCTGGTGTATTGCGTATCCATTACCATTTCAATGAGTATTTTGGCTGAATTTCTTGAACTACTTTATGGAATACCAGGTATATTCTTGGCCTTAACAACATCCTCTGGCAAGGAGTTCCACAGGTTGACTGTGTTGTGTGAAGAAATACTTCCTTTCGTTTGTCCTATTAATTTCATTTGGAGACCCTAATTTTTGTGTTATAGGAACAAGTAAACAACTTTTCCTCATTCACTTTTTCTACACCAGTTATGTTTTTATAGACAGGGCTTGCCGAACCGCAGTGAGCCCCGCTTGCCAGCCACGCTGTCCGGTGATCTGCGCATGCGCAGATTGTTCTGCGCCTGAACCCGGCTCTTCTGGGTTACAATCTACTTGCCCTTGGCGAGTAGTTTGTATTATTTGTCGAGCCCTGTTTATAGACTTTTATCATATCCCCCCTTTAGTCTTCTCTTTTCTAAGATGAAAAGTCTTAGTCTTATTAACCTTTCCTCCTGTGACAGCTGTTCCATACTCCTAATCATTTTTGTTGCCCTTTTCTGAACTTTTTTTGAATGTCAAGATATCTTTTTTAAAATGAGATGACCATATTTACAGGCATTATAAAAAATGTGGGTGTACCGTGGGTTTATATAGTGGCAATAAGATGCTGCCTTTAAATAAGTTCACTGAAAACTGCTTGAGGAAGGTGTGTGAAAGGTATGAAAGCAGTTTACAGTAATATGAACTTTCACGACTACTTAATTGTAGATATATCTGCTGTTTTACAATTGTGCCTTTCTTTTTTAGGGAGGTGGTGGACTCCATGGTGCAACATTTTAAAGTGACAATATTTGGGGACCGTAGACCAGTTTATGATGGGAAGAGAAGCCTTTATACTGCCAATCCGCTCCCTGTAGCAACCACTGGGGTAGGACATATTGTTACTTTTCTGTTACATGCAGCCTGCCAGAAAAACAAGAATATCTTTCTAAAAATGTTAACTTAAGAAATATTGAAAATATACTAGTGTATCTGAAATGCAAAAAGAACCTCCCTAATATACACCTCGATGAGCCACAAATAATATACTGAAAATAGTCTTTACAGTCTTCTCAGTAAATAAATCAAAAGCTTCAGAGGAATTGCAGAGTTAGTCTGTAACTAGAAAAACTTAAACAACGAGTAGTCTAAAACAAAAGGAAAAACTATGTAGCACTTTAAAGACTAACAAGATGGTTTAATAGGTGATGAGCTTTCATGGGCCAGACCCACTTGCTGGCTTTTGTTTTAGCAAGATCAGACTAACACGGCTACCTCTCTATTACTATTCAACGAATACTCTGGTGGCACCTTAAAGACTAACAAAACATGGAGATGGTGTCTTAAGAAGTGGGTTGTGCCCACAAATGCTTATGATACCATCTACATATTTTGTTAGTCTTTAAGGTGCTACTAGACTATTCATTGTTTTTAAGTTTTTCAGTAAATAATGTTCATATTCATTATATTTCTATATTGAGATTTCCTATTAAATACTCAATTTCACAACATTTACTTTGAAGCTTTTGTGATACTTGCTGTCAAGACCCTTCGTACCTTATCTAAGTATGTGTGATGTTTTTACATTGATATTTGTATTTGGAACACTTTTAATATTTGTATTGGTGACAGTATTATTAAACATTCACAAATAGGTTTTCAAGTTAAAATTCTTTTAAGATGAGTTTATAGTTACTGTCAACACATAAACATATGGGTTACTTAGTTAAGGTGACACATGCAGCCAGAAGTAGTAGGGTTTTTTTAAACCAAAGCCCAAGTTATTTTAAAATAACTGTTTTCTAGAATAATTAATATTTTTAGGAATTCACATATATTTTCCTGGGTTTCTCCTCTCAGCCAAATCCAAAACCTTGGCTTGTAATCTGTTCTGAATCTGTTTTAATCAGTGTGTGTTTCACTAGACATCATAAATCATGTTCAGAGATAGTGGTATAGGCTGCCAGGGGCAAAGAGGAAAAAGGTTAGTCTACTCTACGGCATGTTTATAGCTGCAGTAGCATAGAAATTTAAAATAAAAAGTTT